CCGTTGGCAAAATGTTTCAGAGCAATGATGTTAAAGTAGAAACAATTTAAAGTGTCATTTCGATTTCTTTCAACTATTTTATGTTTTTGAAGAGACATTTTGTAAGTTTGTCTATTATCTTCTTGAGGTCAGCTGCTTTGAAAACGGTAAGCTCACTGTGTATGTACTGCAAATGTATATCCCTTTGTGACATAGATCGTATTCACAATATACTTGCTAGTAAATGGTCACAACAAGCAAGTCAAAAATATAGAAAAGAGGAAGCCCTAAAGAACGCCCAAACGACAAATATGAAGATGTTGCAGACTTGGTGTTCATGGACGGTACTGGAGAGCAAAATATTTGAACAAACTAGGTAGAAACTCACTAGAGGGTGTGTCTTGCATCTTATCTAAGCTCTAGCTCTTTGGTTTTATAAATTTAAAGACGGGTTTTTTAAGTGTTTACTATATACATTATTATTTTAACATATAAGGAAAATCAATAACCCCATTGGGCAGGGTCAATTTTGACCCCAATGCTTTGAACAAAGAAGGTCAATGTTAGGTATTAAGATTGGCGGTCGTTTTACGGCTAACATGCAAAGCGACCGCTTTAAGAATATGTAACGGTCGATGAGAATCGGCAGGAACGTATACATATTGTGGATACAATGGTAGTACCTTCTAGCTAAACTGAGCAATTTAAATACATTAAATCGTTTGACATGTTTTGATTTTAGTATGTTTTTAGACCATGCAATTATAGAATTTACTACTAACACAAGATAGTAGCAATTTACAATCTTTCCAGTCAACGAAATGGTGTGCAGATAAAGCAGATAATTTTAGAAGGAGATTGATTTCCAGACTGTATAATGAAACAATTAAATAAGGTATTCAGAGAAGGAAGTATAAGATAATATCAAATTAAATGAAACGGTCGACAGATTCGCGCAAATAATAAACAAGGAGGAGACTTAACCAATGTTCTATAAGGAATTGACCATGCGGAAACAAAATATAAAATTTGAAACTACAAAAATGATAAAAAACATAAAACTGGTTTGATGACTTGTGCAGAGAAAACAAATTAGAGTTTTTGGAAGCATTAGAATTAATTGATGAAATGACGACAACTAGAAATAGACCAGTTAAGGTTGAAAAAGAGACAATATATATCTTGGATAAAAGTTAAGCGCAATAGGTGTAAACTAATAAAGATGAGATAAATTAAAGCACTTGAGAGTAAAAGACCGTGGGATTTCGGGAAATACTTTTCAAAAAATAAACACAACTAAACGAGCATTTATCTGTGCAAGAATTTTATGACTTTTTCAGAAATTAACACTACAACTGATCCTGGAAGCGATAATTACTGCGATAACATGTATTTTTTGATGATCCTTTTTTTCGCGGAATTAGACTCTGTAAATACAACTTATGAAAAGCGCCATGCAATAAGGTGTTTGAAACGAGGCAAGGCAGGTGGGAGTGATGACCTCATCAATGAATATTTCATTGAAACATGTGACATCATATTCGGGCTACTACGCGATATTTTCAACGTTATATTATCGACTGGACATTTTCCAATGTATGGATGGAAGGAATCATAATATCAGTGATAAAAAGGAAATGCTAGTATTTTCAATTATTATAGAGTAATCACACTAGTTGTTAGTAGCTCTATGTCAAACCTATTCACATCAAAAGTAACTAAGAGAATGTCAGACTGGAGTGATAAGCATAACATATTATCAGATTCGCAATTCGAATTTACGCAAGGATAATCAACCACTGGTGCGATATTTGCCTACGCAATATTGTTAATCACATGTTGAATAATGGAAACGCCTCAACAATACCTTGATATATATGCAAAAAATGTTTTGATGGTGTAAACCGGAACGCAATGTGGTTCAAAATATCAGAACTGGGAACTAACAGTAAATTGATCAGGGTTATAAGGTCAATGTATGAGCAAGTTAATGTAAAGTTCGTCTTGGAACAGAATTCTCGGTCTTCACGGAAATATCTGCAGGCAAAAAATGTGTCTAACGTTACTGTGGTCTATGTTCATTGAAGAATTTAGAGTTGTACATTGGTTCAAGGGCATAAAGTTGCTTAAAATTTGATGATTTGACTCTGTTGTAGTTTTTTACGCAGACGATTTGATATTATTTTCGGACACTGCAGAAGGATTAAACAAAGATTAGATGACTTGCTCAAATACAGTAGAAAATGTTGATTAAGCGTTAAAATTGAAAACCCTACAATAATGGTTTTTAGAAAGCGTGGACCATTGCTTGAACATAAAAAATGGTCTTACAATGACACAAATGTCCTTTTTTTGTAAATCATTTTAACTATTTAAGTGTGGTGTTTGACTCAAATGGCAATTTTTATTACAGTACATTTGTTCCTCAATTTTATGTTTATCTTTTGATGTTTGGGGATTGACAACAAACATAGGCATTGAAAGGGTACATCTAAATTTTTAGAAAGAATTAGAAATATAAACTTATCGCCCAATAGTGTAGCTATATATGGAGAATTATAATGATTGATATCCATTGTATGTAAACAGATGTGTTAAATTTTTCTTGTATTTGGTTTATACCAAAAATACTCATATGTACAATAAGAAATAAACTGTATATGAACTGTTATTAGTTGATGTAAGAATAAGATTAGCTCGTAATTCAAAAGTAAAGAAGTTATTATACGAACATGGTTTTGAATACGTGTTTGAAACACCGTTTACAGTAAATGTGACCCACTTTATTTATCTGTTCAGACAAAGACTGACTGATACATTCACAGGAGAAATGGAATGGCGATTTAGAGAACAATCAAGTATTACATTTACATAAACATTTAAAGTTCAAATTTGAATATGCAGAGTAGTTGAAATTTTGTATAGAAAAAAATATAGAAATGTTATTACCAAATTATGATGTCTGCATATTGCCTTAGGATTGAAAACGGATGATAAAGTCAGAATAGAAATGAAAGAGGTGAAATAACATACAATATATGCCAATCTAGAGACATTGAGGATCAATTCCATACGATATGTGTTTGTCCCCGCTACCCGACTTATAAGAAAACATTAATAGATATTATTATGAAAGACCTTCTATAATTAAACTTACCCAGCTGTTTCAACAACAAAATGCTTGATTTTGTTTGTTTCCTTAATTGTGCTTTAAAAGATTGGCACGTTAGTGCCATACCACAAAAAGCGACATATGGTCCCCAAATAAAGAATGCGTGTGCTCTAAACGAGAAGACAATGTTCGGAACTCAATAAAATGGAATTTTAAAGGGGATCTGAGGTTATGAGGCAAAATGACATTTAAGTAGAACTCCGCGAATCGGTTGTGTCGCTTAATGAACAGTATAGCTGTAACTTAGGCATTAAAAGTTTTCTTCTTAAATATAGGTTATTTATAAACACCACTTTTAATTGACTGTTACAATTTACATCAGGACCGATGTAGCTTGCATAGCTTTTATTGTGTAGGGAAATTGGTCCGGACAAAAACAAAGCGGAAAAAATAAAGTACAATAATTAACAAAAGGCAATAACTATGTTATCATGAAGTACAGGGATCTATCATCCTAAAAAAGTATGAAGTTTCAAGTCCATAGTTTTTATAGTTGAAGGGATTGGCTGGGACAAAAATAAAGTGTTGTAATCAACAAAGGGAAATTACTTTAAATTATGGAGAATAGAGTATTGGTGTTTGTGCATTGATCTTTTTTTCAATAAGACCTATCAACCAATGAAGTTTCATGACCATAGCTTATATAATTTAGGAAAATTGGCCCGGACAAGAATGAAATAACAAAATTAAAAAGGGCTATATTTCAACAAATAAGAAGTGCAGAGTACCAGTTTTTATGCAGTGCACTTTTTCTGGATGAGATTTATCATCGTATGAAGTTTCAAGTCCATAACTTTTATAGTAAAGGAGAAATGGCTTTGACTAAAATAAAGTATGAAAAAGGGCAATAAGCGTAAAAAAGAAGAGTAACGATTCTTGTGCACTGCACTTTGTTTCATTGAAAGAAGCATGAACTTTAAATTTGGAGTAAATCCGACTGATAGTGACTGAGTTATGCTTTATGCTCTATACACGCCTTAGGGGACGCCGACAAAGTCGCCGACGCCGTCGACAAAAGTAACCCCTATATTTCGCCTTTTCAAGGCGAAACATAAAGCATGCCACATATTCTAAGGATGACTCAATCGGACCGAGTGTGTAATTTTTGTGTGATTTTGATGCTTTCAAGTGATCACTTTTTTTCCAGATTTTACCTAAATGACGATCAGAACGATAAGAATTAAAAATGTTTCAGGCTCATCTGCTGTGCATTACACTGTCCAAGAATGAACAGTGTATTATTGTAATGAGGGGTATACATATAGGTTTATTTCGATGTAGTTTAACAGATGATACCATACAGTGTGATGTAACCACTATCATGTGTTATACTAATTACATCATGACATAAATTACAAATATTCCTGCTAATGTTCGGGTAAAATGTAATGAAATGTTTTTCAATGAGATAAAATAACATAGCATAGATTTAAGAATTGAGTTTAAGCTAAAATAATATTAAACTTTTAATTTCAGTTTCACGTTATTTTTAGGATTTGTACATGATTTTTTTCTTACTTTCAGTATTTCATGGATTCATTAACAATGTCTTTAAGAGGAGAGAACACATATGAGTTTTCCTGGTTATTAAAATTACTTAAATAACCATTTATTTCTATTTTTGTGAATGACATCTGTCTAAAATTATTGTGGATTATTCAAGAAGAACGTGACTGTCATTCTCGATTTGTAATTAACATATTGACCATGATTGTAAAACATGCAAAAATGTAAGCAATTAAATCGATAATGTGCATAATTATGTCGCTGGTAGAGTGATATATATAATTGTATCTCTACATGAGTTTAACACGTGTAATTGTAGAGAAGTCTGACATGCCATACATACTGATGTAACAGGTTGGTCCAACCTTTCCAAAATCTGTACACGAGCTGTCACACCTCCCTGAAACGAGTTCATATATTTCAAATTGATTTTTAACGACATTCACACTCTTGTCTATTTAGAAAAGGGAAAAAGAAAGAAAAAATAAAATTTAAATTGACTTGGCGTTTTCGTCTGCTTTTCTTTCTGTCAAAGATATATTACAAATTCCATTTATGAATAACAGAACTGATGACTGGATAGAACCATTAATGCACTTTTATAAAATAAACAAAGTTTACAAACTCTAGCGAGGCATTGGTCTTTAAGTTACTAATGTACCACCATGTGTTTAAACTAACCATATATATAGCCAATTTATTACAAACTATGTGCATGAATGACTATGACTTTTGACATTCAAGTATGAACTTGACGTTTTGGCCTCTGAGTTACGTTTAGTTAATAACAGATAATCCTTATGACCAGCATTTTTTTGCATAAATATTTCAAAATCCATCCATGAGGGTAAAAGATATGCACAAAAGACGACAACATATTCGAAATCATCATGTTTCACAAACAAGCGTGACCATGACCTTTGACTGACCTTTATGCCGACACATCACCATAGTGTCTTACACAATTACATCCATTAAGGAAAAACCAGAATAGTTGACCGGAGAAAAATATCAATGTTTTTTTTTATGAAATAATTCATGTCATAAATTTGTGCTATGAATTTGGAATGCAAGTGACCTTGACTTTTGAGATAGGAACCTGATTCGTGTGCGCGACACATTGTCATTATGCCCAACAAATGTATGCTTTATATTTTCTAATTCATCTAGGAATGACAAGACTATCTGGTCAGTTCACTTGTATACAAATTCATATAGTGATTTTTCATCTGAAAGAATAACCGAGACCTTTGAGCAAGTGACCTTACTCTAATGCGCCACATCGAACACATTTATCTATAATAGTTTTTAAATCCATCAAGAACTGAAAGAATTGTTGAATGACACAACATTTGTTCCGTGTATTTTTTTTTTTTTTAATTATTTAAGCGTGAAATTTACCTTCAAGCTAGTGTACTTTTTATGCACGACATAAATGTCGAAGAACACATTTACCCAAAAAAGTTTAAATTTATTAAGAATAGAACAGAGATCCAATTGTTCGACGCAACACATTAACATCATGTCAAACGCGTTTATGCATACTATTTTATATGAATTTTTTGACATTTTATAAATTCATTCATCAGTGACACAATTGTTCACTTGAACTTGGACTTGAAAGCTTTTATGACTTTTTATCAACAGGTTTGGCCTTGACCGTTAGGGTAGGGGCTCAGTTTTAACAAAACAATCCTCTGAAGTGTTAGAATGACCATTCAGCTTAAGACCTAGATCTAACCCATGACAAATTGCCCAAGTGTGCAACACATTTATATAAAATTATTTTAAAATCCATCCTAAAATGAAGTTTTAGTCAGGACAAAGTTTTGACGGCAGGACGGTAGTTCTAACGAGGCTACTGTATTGTTCTCGCTATTGTTCTTTTTATCCACATAAAGCTAAATAGCCACATGAAAGCCTTATAGAATGAATTACATTAAAGAGAAAGTACAGTTACATATTGTCCCTTTAGCCACATAAATATCCATATATAAGCTCTGACGAACGGACGGACGGACATTTAAAAACTAACTGCCTCCCAGTTTTAGTGTGGAGTATAATAATAAATATTTATTTAAAAAGGCATCAATTTGCGTTAATTGATAAACAATTGTCTACTCTGACATTAAACTTAAATAAAATCTCAGTTCCAGCGAAGTGCTGAATGTTAATGAAGAGTTATGACAAACATAAAAGGCGAACACTTATGTAATAGAGAAACAATTTTTTACTTTCAACATACATTTTTATTTCTAAATTCCACTACATGCTAAAGACTTAAATGAAATAAATTAATTCAAAATAATTTGAAACTGCCTTGTAGCGTTTATATGATCAAAGTAAGCATAATTTCAGTTTTTAATATTAACTTTGAATTTAATTGTTTGAAAATCCGTAAAGTTATTTCCTAAAAGGAAGTGGTGTCAGTTGATAAATTTAAGGAAAACTTACAATCAAGTTTTCCCGACTTAAGTCATAAAACGTTTAATAGTTTTCCTTATTAGTCTAAGTACATGTTGTTTTCATATAAAATTATGCATTTGCCAAATTTTATCCCTAAACTTATCCTTTTGACAACTCAACCGCTAGCAAAGTTACTGACCTACTGAGACATTCAGAGAGCAAACGTGAGGGATGTTGCACGTATTTATATCCCTCATATACAGACTCAATCAAACTGAGTCTGCAATTCTCTTGTAATTGTGTTGTGATTAATACTTCCGAGGGATCACTTTGTTTCCGGATTCTTTTCTACTTCTACAAACATATACTTTTATTGAAATAATTGATGAATGATCACCAAACTTGTCTGTTTCATTCTTATCATTTTGCTCATATAGATTTTATTCGTTCCTCGAAAACGTGTCTGTATTTGAACTGATTGATCAAAGCAAGTTCATAAAAAACTTCATTGCATAAAATAAAACATGTGTCAGTTGAGTCAAGGTCAGGGGTGCTAACTATTGGTCTGTACACATTTGCTTAAACAGCCTTAAACAACCTTTATCGTTTGACTGATGTATCCCATATTTGAAAGGATGATAACTTGCGTCCTTTGGATTGAGTTACGGATTAGTTGGATCAAGGTCACAACTGCTAATAATCGATTTCTACTCGTTTGCCCATGCAGCCTTTATAAGTTGACAGATATATTTTCATTAAAATTTTGTAGGTTAATAACTGAAATGATTTTTTTCTTTTGATTAACTTAAGGTCAGTGGGTCAAAGTCAAGGGTGCAAATAATAGATTTTAAGAGATTTTGCTTATACATGTACAGCATTTTTTTTTAAATTGAAAGGATGATAACCTGCGTGTTTGTTTTTTTTTTTTTCATTTGCATTCAGTTGTGGTTCAGTTAGGTCAAAAATACGAGTGCTTTAAATATATATTTTCCCTTTACCTATATAACCTCTATATACAGGTGTTTTTGTTCGTATTTGATTGGAAGATATCTTGCACATATATCTTAAAGATGTATTGTATTCTTTCTTTTGGATTGAGTTAGGAGTAAGTGGGTCAAAGTAAATGGTGCCAAAAACGATTTTTACACATTGGGCTAACTAGTCTTTATTATAGACTAATGTTTTACATACTTGGACAGAAGTTAAATGATACGAGTCAAAAGGTCAATGTCACTTGTGTTTACAATATATATTGTTTTACCTTTTCCTCCAGTCTGTTTATTGATTATTTACCGATCTCTAATATTTACATACTTGAGGAAGCCTTATAAGTTTGGATTGAGTTTGTGGTCACTGGGTATAAGGTCATGTCTTGAATTAATATATTTCCAACGTCATCAAAAGTCATAGCAATGACATGCAAACTTATTTTTTTCACAATTACAGAATGCCACGACTCTGTGAAGCTAAATCATACTGTGTTACAATTTTTTTGCAATTTTTCTGTCCATAACTTGGTGAATGCGTAATCGGTTTTGTTTTGTTTGTTTAATTTGTTTTTTGTTATTTTGGAAAAACATGTTTCTGACAAGAATATGAGCCGGGGTCCTATGTGCTGAGTAAACATGCTCATTTTGTTAAGGAAATATATATGCGAATATGTAACTTACAGTAAAAAACATACATACAAAATCTGTGCAAATTCGTAAAGAAAGGCCTACATCTAAAATCAAGAATTCTTTACATATTGAAGGTCAATAGCCAAACAATCAGTGCTTCATTTTGAGACTTCAGGTTCTTCTTCGTGCCTTATTATAGGCCGCAGATACGGTGGTTATTATGGAACTTACAATGTGATACGTGAATGCCATTCTAAGAAAAGCGTATGGGTCCCAGAAAACATATGTACACAAGAAACGGAAAAACAGTGTGCAGAAAAAAATAAAATGAAATTTTAAAAGAGGGCTAGTGGTTATGAAACCTGTACATTACAGCTTAGCTGTCAAGAGACAAATTCGGAAAGCAGGCAACGTGTCCTGGTTGATTGAGCAGTTTAGTAAGGTTAATGGACACCACCCAAAATGGAAAAGTAAAATAAATAACTGAAAGTACCACAAGCACAAACTTATATCCTGTTGAACGGTTTTTAAGGATCGGATATGTAAAGTCAAACACATTGGGCAAATGAGGTTTATCTCATCTCAAAAGACTAAAAGGTGATGTTGAAAAAATATATACCCTTAACAAATTTTACAGCTGTATGACACTTCTCAAATCGCGAATATGAAACACACGGCAAAAGAATCAATCACATTATCAGAAAATTAAAGTCAATATAGATAACATATAATCCCATTTTTTAGTGACAAAATAAAAAGAGTATTTATTGACATATACAATTTCATGTATCTAAATTAATTCTTACCACAGTTCAGAATCAAACTTGCTACTAGGATTAAAATTCCAAACATTCGCATAATTAACACCATTTTATCCTTTCATTTCTACACACGTTATGACAAAAATGAAGTCTTCACGAAGCAATCTGGAGACCTGTTATTTTTAAAACATAATATCACAGTTCAAGTACTAGAGCAGTCATTGGTGGATAAAACCAGGAACAATAAATATTATACTTCTCGTTGCAATTACAGAACGATGTTTTAATGTTTATATCCTACTTTGGAAATATATATCAACTTTAATTGTAAACGGTAATTACACGTTTCAAGTTTAGATGCGCAATAATAGAAATACAAATAATTCTAACGTCTCACAAAGCTTTTTTTACTACAACGCACACATATTTATTCCTCCGTTCATTAATGCATCCTTATTTGAAAAGCAAATAGCAAAAAGAATGTACAAGTACTTTTACTCTGATCAGACATTAATGACATCTGATGAGTTTAGATGCTTTGTCTTTTTTCTGTACGTAATTGCGTTGTACCAGTGTGCTCATCCTGTTTAAAAAAAAAAACTTAATGAAGCAAGTGACAATTTGAATCAGTAATATTTTTCAAACCTGACTGATAGGGCATTTCAGTTTTTTATCACGATATATATGTTAGCAACGACTTAAATATATTTTCATTTGCAATATAGTTTTGGCCATTTGATCATTACTTCAAATTATTTTTCATAGATGTAATAACGTCTGACATAAATTTATATATGGGAAACTATTGCTTGAGTTAATTTTATTAAGAAAAACGTTCCACGTGTGATCACTTGAATCACTTAAATGTTTTAAGTAGATGCCTCTCTCCAGTGCACACTTTATGAAACAACTGACAATAATCGACAATGGTGTCAGAACAATTAAATTGATCAATAAAGAAGTTTTAGGGTATCAAATAATGTGTAAGTCCAGCCATTTACACCTTGTCTTTTACTTCTAGCAAGAAATGAAATTTATCTTTAGGATTGAATGGTTTCAATCGACATCATTTTTTGCACGGTAATTATTGTATACGATAGAGGAAAGTGATAATAGTTGTAGTTTAAGTAGCAATTACTATATTTAAGATCTAGTGGATGTAGGATAATAACATATACTTTAAAACCCACTTAAATACAGCTGGAGCATGATCTTCTAACTTGATGATTTAAACTTCCTTTTATTAAAGTGTCCTATAACAAGGTAAATTACTGAAACACTTTACGAAGTATTTTTTGTCAATTTGATAACTTTAATTGTGAAATAATTTCCATTTTTAACAGTTTATTTTCAGATTAACAAAGTAATTTAATACCTATCATTTCGAAACTAAAACCACAATAATCTTTTTTTCATAAATTGCTTATTTCGGTTGAAATATTACTTTAAAACTCTTTGTTTGTTTGGTTGTATAGTCATGTCTGGACTGTTAATGAATATCCACATATTTCATCATTTGAACATCGATATTTGAGACACTTGAGCATTGCTCCGCATGAAACATATTCATTGTACAAATTTATAAGATACCGGTTAGGAAATAAAAGAAACCAAATAATAGAAAGGAAAAGAAATAAATCTATATAAAATCGCAACAAACAATACACGAAGGAAACATCAACAACAACTATATATTAAATATACAATGACATCAACTAATGTATTTCTAGGAAGTTACATGTATTTTATTGTTAACAAAATACCTGTTTACGTTAAAACGAGACTAGTTTTATACGTCAAAACATAACTTACCAATGAATAACAAAGCCAAATCTTCTTCCTCCTCCATCTCCTTAATAATTTTCCTTATACATGACGGTATAAACAGACAAGGGAATGAAGCATTGATGTTTCCTATGTTTAACTTCAAAGAGTTATCGGAAATGCATTATGTTAAAGGTACATCGGTGAAAATAATTGTTAATGTTATTAAAAATGCCCTGAATTTGAAGTTTAACATTTGTCAAACATAAAATAAGTACTTACTTTAAACTTACTTTGTCTTCGTTAACATTTTCATAAATTCTATAATTTTTGATTGGTAATATTTTGGACTGTTACATCATCTGTCACAAAAGACACAAACAATTTCCCTGAATTTATTGCCGTTTTTATAGCTTCAAAGGATTCCCCCCCCCTCCCAAATTTAAAAGAACAAATAGGGTTGTGTTGATGAATATGAAAAGTTTACAATTATTATTTTTTATTATCATTCAAGTATTATTAGGTAGGGTTCGATTTGAATAAAGTTGCATTGAACAGTTATGGAAGTTTTAAGTAATAAAAAATATATCTTAATGCATAGCGTTTTATCGCCACATCAGCGTTGTTTGTGTCGTATGGAGGCATGTAATTCAGTTAGAGATGTTATATTCTCAGATCATTGAAGATCGTTCCACAAAATATTATTGTTGTGTTTGTGGTCTTTTAGTATATACAGTTCGGCATTTCTAGTTGGGCGTTTCCAATATTCCTGCTTGAATAATGTTGAATCACAATTAGGATATACTTGCTTTTTAAAGTTGCCATTTGATGTGTTTTCTTTGATATGCAGGCTTCATAACTTCTGTTCGTTTTCAAAATTCCAATTTGTTAGGTTCCGCCAATTGTTTTCTCGTTTCGGCCACACACATTCTTTTATTTGGGTATCATACGCCTCTTTTCATGGAATAGCATGAAAGTATCATAACGATGGACCCATGATAGTCGCCGTATGAACACATCTGCGAATGTTTCTAAATTCTTTCATATTTAAATGCCGAGTTCTGTTTTAGCCGGTGCTACAGGACGTAGACGGTAGTTTGCACTTGAAAGTATCTTTCATAAACAGGCTCAAACAAAACGGACCTGTAACATATTCAATGTTGCCGTTTTTGATTTTCTTTAGGGATTTCAATATTGATCTGCTTACGTTCTTCAAAGTTACGTATCACTTTATGAAAAAATTTGTTAGCACGTTAAAATTTGCATAAGAACTTCGGTATAAACGTTGAATTTGTTTTCCTTTTAAGGTAAGATCCCCCTAATTGGCACTATAAGGAACTGTTAAATGTACAACATATGTTACCAATATGCTTAAAGGACACCTGTATGCAAAATCTAAACAAAGTTTACAGTATTGGTTACGAGTTATGGACTTTCATGAACTAAATGAACTAAACGAAACTCTAAACAGTCTATCATATCATCCGTATGAAAATTGTTTTCCCATTTATCACAGTTATGAAACAAATGGTAACATTAAGCTAACAATCCACAAAAGCAAAATGTTTGTTTCTAGTCAAAATTTATAAAGTATGCAAGACAATGTTACCCTATCCAACACTTGTTTGACCGTTTTCCTGCTACTTAGAGAGCCTTATTAAAAAATCCATAAAAGTTATCGAATTGAGTAGCTGATTTCAAAGTTTCCCTTATTTTTCTTAAAAGTATATTGGATGATCTTGTAAAATAATAAATACTTTTGCCATATAGTTTTGATTTGATAAGACTTTAAAAATATCTGGTATCATATTGTTCATTCGATTTAGCATTCTTTAGTAAATAAATAGCCATATTACTTACGTAATAAAATTAAACACCCTTTCCTTCCCAAAAGGAAATAATGTTAAAAGAAAATGTTAATGTTAAAAGAAAAAATGGCAAACAAAAAAGTTGACATTTGTGGGGTTTGAACCCGCGCCCCTCAGTTTCAATGCAGTGGTCATTAATTCTAGCCTCTTTGAATACTCTTCAATGCGGAGGTAATGCATTAGGGGGATCTGAATAATATTTGAACAATCAAATTAACAACCATACTGTTATAAAGCTGAACAGAACATAAGAATAAGAATGATAAAATTTTAAGCCGACGACATAATATCTTTTTACACAATGTATAAAATCCAGATTTAATATTGTCTCTGTATTATTTTGCATTTTGATTAAACGTAAGCTTAAAATGTTCTCATTCATCCCATTTGTATTCTCAATCACCTTTAGTTCAAAATGAAGTCTTCTGATATGTTGTTAAGGTTTCTTTAAATTATTTTCGAAACTCAAAGAAAGCTGTCTTTGACGTTATTTAGCTTAATATCTTTACATTGTTTTCGAAACTGATAGAATTCTGTCATAAAGGGTATGACGTTATTTAGCTTGATGACGTATTACAGAAGAATGAAAATATATGGTTTTGTAAACGGAATTTTAAATATTAAGATTGTTTTGTTAAAGAAATTTCAAAGTGCTACTTTCTTCTTATATTGAAAATATATTACAAATAAAGCCCTTGAACATATTTCAATTGTTCATGGTTTGTCACTTAGACAATCACTACGGAAATATATCAATTTAATAGGTGCACGTTATAAAATGTTTCAGTATATGACATGCAGTCGTGTTAAAGGTGTAGTTCAATAAGATAGTCAACGTCTGATTCAAAACTTGTACAATAAATTTATTTATATCATTTGTGTCACCACATGACTGCTCATGACACTTCTATATAAACTTCAAGGATTTTTTATATAAATGTTGGTCATATTTGTGGGGGTTTAAAATGCATAGATTCTCGCAAAAGTAACCGGCAAACTCGGATATGGGAGGAGAGGCATTCAAACATACTTAGGACAACAGTGCTACTGCTACATGTATCAACACTAAATAAGTGTTGTAAACACATATATGTCACCAGTGGAAAGTATCAACAATTTTTTTTTAAATTTTAAGCTTCTTATAAAAGATGGAACGTCATATTGTATACGCGTTCTTTGGAATTTGTGCCAATGTGATACTGCTTACGCATGTGCAGACATTACTGCTACATTTTTGTTGTCTGAGACACTCCTGTGTATGTAACTGTCATACTACTATATATCTTACTGTAAATACTGCTACGTATGCGACTCGATATACGAACGGAATGCGACAGACAAATCTTTTGCAGATATTGCTTATAATGCCATTATATTTGATCTTGACAAACTTGCTACAAAATAATGGCTGATATTGAACGTATTGTGACTTAATCTAAGCATTATTCGTAATTAATTTCGTTCTATTATATAGAAGATACACTGCTATCTGCATGACTGATAAAATGCTTACTTACGTAACTCCAAATGCTGATATATCGTTTTCTTACTTCTTT